ACTTTGTTTCGGAAAAGCGGGATTTTAACATTATCACTGAGAGAGAAATTGTTGAACTCACGTACGTCAAAAGGTTTCAGGCAATCTCAGAAGGTCTCAACAAGCAACGGGTTTTAACACATTACAATTCTTAATTGATAAGGTACTTGTAATCTTTCTCACATGTAACCTGCATCCTATCTTCTGTTGCTCATTCCCTGCCCCAAAATAGAGTCTAGCCACTCTGCATCTGATGAAGTGAGCTGCAGCTCACGAAAGCTTCTTCCTTTTAATAAAATGTGTTAGTGGGAAAGGTGCTATCTTCTGATTTTTTTTTTTGCCACCATAGACTGCTCTTCTCTTGCAGTGACTGAAGACATTGAATCTTTAAAGGCTGTGATTTTAACAAGTACCATATAAAGTCCTAAAGTTGGTGGGATTTCTGTGAAAACATGTATTAGGATTGAGTTCAAATTCTGCTAGTATGACATTCTTGTAACAAAGCATTGTTTTGTGCTAAAGATTTTCACCCTTCATTTTTTCTAATGTTTAAGTACATGCCTTTGTTGGGGAAAAGGAAATGTAGCTAAACTGACAAAAATAAGATTTATTCTGTTTGCAGGCAATTGTGTGGGAGTTAATGAATAGTCACATTAGACTTTTCTCTTGGGAGTCAATTCTTAGTTTCATGTGATTTATGGCTCAGATATAGTTGTGCCTCTTTTATTTGATCTGGATTTACCTGGTTTGTTTCAGAAATAATTCTTGTGGCCTATTGTTTGTGATTGGAAGCTCTGTTTCCAGTTAACATTTTGCAGTGGGGTCATCTGATCATTCCTCCTTTCCACCCCCACCAACATTAGTGGGATCTGTCTTCTTTGCTTTTTATGTCAGTCTGGGTTTTTTTTCCTTATGGGTTTTAATAAAAGGGAGGATATTCTGATTTTTCTAAAATGTGGAAGGGGATCCTTATCAGTTTTTATAGAAAGCCCATACCTTTCCTCACAATCTGTTGACCGGCAACATTGAATGCAGTATCATATTTCCATGGTATAACCAATATTTTTGAAATTGTTTAATGAAGATTTTTTTATACAACAGAAGAAATTGCTGGAAGGAGGTTAATGTAAAGTTAAATACACAGTTTATATCTGTGATTAATATTGCACCAATTAACACTCTTACAAGGTAGTTTGATAAATGAATAGTATTCAGAACACAGAAGATTAGAGGTTTTCTTTATTCTGTACCGATTAGGCCACCTTTGTAGTACTGTGTCCATTTATGGATGTAACATTTTAGGTACCCTGTACTGTGTTACTAATTGTGGATGACAAACTGGAGCACATCCAGATAAAGGTATCCATGATTAGAAGAATTTTAAAAACCGATTCATATTAGAAACAGTTGAAAGAGTGGATGTGTTTAGCTTGGCGAAGATTAAATGAAAATATGATAATTGTCTATATATGTGTATGTATGTGTGTGTGTGTATGAAATTCTGTGATGTAAAAATGGCGGATTTGTTATATGGGACATCAAAGGGCAGGATTAGAAGCAGCCCACTAAAGTTCTAAGGATCCCCATTTCCGCTAAATATTAGAAGAAAATTCTGAAAGAGCTTTAGGAAGGGACGCAGACAACCCTCCCCACTTGTTAGATCATGGCTGCAAACAAAGACATATCTAGGCATGCCTGGACAAAAAGTGTCCTGAATCTACAACCCAGGCTAATTTTCCTCTAGCCAACCTTATTCTAGACAGGTAGTGTAGAAATCACATGAAACACATGGCTTCCACAGCACTGATTGGTCAGTTGGAATTTCACTCCTTGGAAATTATCTCTACCTCCCAAGGAAACTCCCTATTGGGTTATTTTATCTTTAAATTTTATCTTTAAGAGATTAGCAGAGAGTAAAAGCTAAATACAGTTATAGGGTATTCTCAAATTTCAAGATTCCGTAAAGCAGCTAAATCTGATAGGTATTAATTAGTAAAGTTTTATTTTAAATGACAGCTGACTATTTCTGACCTTTCTTCAGGAATTTTTAATAAATGTTTTACAATTGACATTGAAGTTGATTTCACCATTCTGTATAGTAAGGTACTGTCTTACCCATATGTCAGACTGCTGGATGTATATGCTCACCTGATACTTAAGGAGAGAAAAGGAAAGCTTTGGAAAAATGACCTGTCTTCCTCCATGTAACTGTTAGGCCTGAATTTCTCTGTATTCAGGTTCAAATCTCTTAAATGTAGATCACACAGATGGTTACAACATATTTATCCTGAAAAATATAACAAAGGGGATAAGATAGCCTATTGGCCTTCACAGGATTGGAGATGCATGCACTCCCCTTCCCATCCCCCTAGTTGTTACAGCTGTTTAGAAGAATGGATTGCTTTGGAAGGTGATTGCCAACCTGGGGAGGAAGGGAGAGCATTTCAGCAGAGACTTGAATAATTGGGGACGTTGCACTATGCATTGCAGATTTTCAATTGAGCAGAGGGTTGGAATAGATAATCTCCAATATATTTTCTATTTTATGGTATTTATTCATTGATAACATATGCATTGCAAATAATTGACCTAAACAATATGCTTGTGCTGTTTCATTATGCTGTCATGAGATTGTAATCTGATGCATAGGCACAATATAAATTCCACTGAAATATATTGTAATATTTTTCATAAATAGAATTTCAGATTGGGTCACAGCCATATATTCATAAACATCACTTGTATTAGCTGGTTATTTGCAAAAATGTGGATATTTGTGAGACTCTTTTGGGCATGCTGCTAAAAGGCTTAATGGCATACCTGGATGGGAAAAGCTTCTTTAGCTATTGAAATGTAAAAATATGATTACAGTACTAGAACCTACAAGAATAGTTTGATATGGAGAAGAATGAAATATGTATATTTATTTATAAAATGCCACTCACTTGTCTGGCATTAAACAAGCAAGTGGATCCTTATTTTTGTGTAGTTCACAGACTGAGATATTTTAATTTTTAGAGAAAGGGAGGAGCCTCTTTTCCAAGTTACAAATAGCACAATTCCACCATGACAGCTGCAATGTGCTCTGTATGGGGCTGCCCATGATGAGTGTCTTGAAGGATCTATCAATCCAAAATTCAGTAGCCGAGCTGGTACATAGTTCACAGCATCAGGGGATATTAAAAGACTTTTACAGATAGCCAGTTATTTTCTGGGCATAATTTAAGGGATTGTTTTTACTGCAAAACCCTAAACAGCTTGGAGTCTGACAGTCAGAGGCATATTTTGCTATGAACTTGTGTGGTCATTAAAGGCCGTCTTCAAGTTGCCCCTACTTTTTGAGTTTTTTTCTATGGCACACAGGAAGGGGGGGGACTAATCCTGTGTTACTCGACAAATGCAACCCCTCTAGAATTGCACTCAGCCCCCATGTTTTCTACTTTTAGGAAAGAAATGAAACCGTTTCTCTTTAGTAGGCCTTTTCAATATGTATGCATTTAACTGGTTTTTATCAGATTTTTTTTCTTTGTTATTGTTAGCTATTCTGAGCACTCTTTGAGTGGACCTATCATAGGCCTCAGATTTCATATAGGAAGTTCCAGTTCAAAGCACTCTCTTTGAATTGGCCTCAACACCCAGAGTATTTATCAAAGTAATGACAGTCCCTGTGGAATGCTTTGGGTCCCAGTGTGTCCACATTTATGTTTATCTATACAGTTTGTTTATCTTATCAGAGCTCCCTCTGTGGAGAAAACAGTGAGCGGCCTCAACTTGATGCTTCAGAACTTCCAGGAGCACAATATTGTGGTAACCTTTACCAAAATAATGCTCACACCTTCAAAGTTGATGCTGCATCTGGAAGATACTATTGACTAAGGGGATAAGTGAGGAACCCCCATGATGTCTCCTAAAACACCCAGATATCCTGTTTCAAGGCCCTTTCCTACACTTACACCCAGTCTGGGTACAACTTTGACCCTAGAAATTATACAGGAGCATCTGCATTTCAGCCTTCCAGACCTTGCAGTAAAAATCATCTTGGCTTCTAGGCACCCAGGTACTGCCAGTGGCTATCAACTGATTTGGCACTTCTTTGAATGATGGCATCTCTTTGAAAGGGACTTGTGGCATTAGCAGGGGCCCCAAAACTATAAATAGGACTGGAAAAGACTAATAGATTAGCTAATACATTGTTCAGACATGCAGCAACCTTGAACTTTGTTCTTCTAGAGAGGGAAGGGATGTCTATATCTGGCCAACTTCACATGCATCACTATCAGAGGCACAAGCCTTCTCATCTCCAGACATTCATCATTTCCTTTCATAGGAACAACTGCTTTATTCAACCCATCAGACTGATATTCATTAACATCCCCATCTATAAGACAGCCTTTTTAGTAGCCTTATCTCAGCTGGTTTGGTCAGGGACCTGCATGTACTTCATCGAGACAAGGAGATGCTAAGTCCAGATCCTTGCTTTATACCCAGGTCAATTCCGAATT